ATAGAATACTACTCAGCCATAAAAAATGTCATTTGCAGCAACATGGATGGACCTGGAGATTATCATTCTAAGTGAACTAGGCCAGAAAGAGAAAAATATCATATGATATCACTTACATGTGGAATCTAAAAAAAAAAAAAAGATAAACAAACTTATTTACAAAACAGAAACAGACTCACAGATATAGAAAACAAACTTATGGTTACCGGGGGGAAAGGGAATGGAAAGGGATAAACTGGGAGTTTGAGATTTACAGATACTAATATATATAAAGTAGATGTAAAGAACAAGTTCATATTTTATAGCACAAGGAACTATATTCAATATCTTGTAGTAACTTATGGTGAAAAGTAATATGAAAATGAATATATGTATGTTCATGTATGACTGAAGCATTACGCTGTACACCAAAAACTGACACAACATTGTAAACTGACTATACTTCAATAAAAATATATATAAAAAAGAAAAAAAATTTATAATTAAACCAAGATGAAATTCAATGACAAAATAAAAATATGGCCAGGAAATAAAAATGGGTTTCAACAGGGAAAAGTGCTGGTTAGTAACAAGGTGAAAAGTCAAACTGCAAAGTAAGGCTGTCTGGCTTTGTACAAATAAAGCATAAAACAATTGAGGCCAGAGTGAGTCACCAGGAAATATGAGTAAGCAAATTTGAAGCAGGTGTGATCCTGGCATCTATAAATATGCAGCACAAAGTAATTATCTTATTCTAATGTGCATTGACTAGATACCCTACTTTGACCTGTTCTGGTCAGAAGGCTCCTTATGCTGCCAATGAGAAGAAAACTCTGCCAGACAGATAACTGGTAAAGGCTGCTTGAATCAGAAGCACACGCATTTGTACCCAATCTAGAGGGATTTGCAGTTATTAAATAAATACACAGAAAGTCCTTTATAAATCACCTGTACCAACCCAGGTGAGATATCATAGCAACATGATTTAATGACTCAGCACTTTCTGAGAAGAATGGATGGTAGACACCTTGAAGGGCTTGATGTTGTTTGCCAGGAAGAACAAACTCGTCTAAAAGATTTACTAAGTCAAATTACCAAAATTTTTCTCCATGTTTATCCTAAGGAAATATTTAAACATCTAGGGCAAAACACCACCTGGAATTACCTCATCAAATAAAGAAATGCTTTTCCTTGGGTTGGGTGGGATGTAGGTTAGAAGTAGGCTGTTGTGTCCCAGTCATATCTGTTCAGACCAACTGACTCTAGAAGCTGATGGCTTGAATCTAAAAGGGGAGGGCAGGGTTGCAGATAATGGGGCCAAACTGTCAAGCGAACCCCAGAGAAGTTATTCTCAAATGAAATAAATTCATGGAGGATCTGAGGAACAACTGACTTGATTATATTCTATCTTTTCCATCAAAACTTATGGCAGCTTTCAATAAACTACACTTTATTTGGCCTGTATGAAGACTGCTATCATATTCAGTCAACATCCAAATGTAAAGAGAAAGAAGGAAAACATTCTACAGGTAATTCTTGCCAGACTATACAACTACCCTCGCACCTCTTGCTGAAGTAGACCAGTAAGAAGAGAGGGATTTTCGTTTTGCTTAAAGAGCCTACCTATCCAATTTAATTTCCACCCCAATTTTCTTAGTTCACGGGTAAACACAGTTTGGGGCATCTGGAAATAAGTCACAGATGGGTGGGTCTCTGGCTACTGTAAAAGGCTAATAGGCAAGCTTGAAAAGTTGGGGAAGGACATTATTTCCAAGCAGTAAAATATACAAAAAAATCTTTTCAGCAATTTTTCAAAAGAAAAATCTGACTATTCCTCACCCTCCTCTCCTTCATTTCAAATTCCTCTAAAGTTTGGTTTGGTTCTCCTTCTCTTTCCTTCTTTTTCCAAATATGATATCATATCCCATTAGTGGTAAGGAACAAAGAGTGGAGCAGATAATTGTTCCTTAGGGTCCTACTGAATCGCAGATCAACTAATGTAAGAATGTCTCTTGAGCAAAGACTCCCCATACTTCTATATTAGACGCCATTTACTGGTGGATTTGAAAATTTGTGAATTACAGTGAGGTGAGAGCCAGTCAAAATATTCTATAAAAACATATCCTTGTAATAATGAAATTATATGACCAAAATAGGGGAATTTTTATTAATGCCCAGTAAAACATCTGTGAGAAGAGCTAATTTTTAAAAAAATTGATGTTATTTATTTATTTTCATTGAGATACACTTGATTTGCAATGTGGTGGTAGTTTCTGGTATACAGCATAGTGATTCAGTTATACATATATATTCTTTTTCATATTCCTTTCCATTATAGGTTATTACAAGAATTCTTTAAGTACAGAGAAATCTCAGTAAGCTCTTCCTAATGTGGAGCCATGTGCAGTTAATACAACCACAAAATTCCATTATAATATTTTTCAAGTAATTGATTCGAACTTTATGCTCCACAGTAGCACATGTTGTTAATCTACTTTATATATAGTAGTTTGTATCTGCTAATCCCAAACTCCTAATTTATCTCTCCCCGCCCCCTCCTTTCCCCTTTGGTAACCATAAATTTGTTTTCTAAGCCTGTGAATCTGTTTGTTTTGTAAATAAGTTTACTTGTACTATTTTTCAGATTCCACATATGAGTGATATATGATTTGTGTTTGTGTGTCTTACTTCACTTAGTATGGTAATCTCTAGGTCCATCCACATTGTTGCCAATGGCATTATTTCATTCTTTTCCATGGCTAAGTAATATTCTACTGTTTGTGTGTATGAGCACTACTCAGTGTATGTGAAAAGGATTCAGGAGACAACTTGAAGAAACTCCCACTGCCCAAACATGGGATAATTCAGTATCAAAAAGAATAATAGCAATAGACTATAACACAGTCATTCCAAATTCACCTCAAAATCACTGACACATAAAAAAGTATACATCTATGAGTTCATAATGATTTTTTTAAAAACATTATCATCATAGGCTAAGTAATCATTTTTTTCTGAAACTGCTAAATACTACCAAAGAACCAAGCATTTATCCTGGCTTTGCTACAATAAATTCTTATTAAAAAGTCCTATCAAATGTTAAACTTAAATATAATAAAATTTCTAGATCTAACTACCAACTAACAAGGAATACAGAGGACAAAAGAATACAATCAGCAAAATCCAGTCTGAGAGAAACTCTAGGAAAATGATCTGGTTTCTTCAAAGGATGGGTTGGGAGTGGGAGGAGGGACACAGAGAGGAAGGAAGAAACTTCCAAGTTAAAAGAACTCAACCAATGGAAATGTGTAGGATCTATTTTGATCAAGATTCTTAAAAATAAATTATTAAAAAACCCATCATTTATGAGACAACTGAGGAAACTGGAACTTTTCATCATAAAGAATTAGTACTAATTTAGGTGAGATAATGACAACTTTTTAATAAGACTGTTTAACTTTTAGAAATGGTATCATTTAAGCAAAAGAAATGGTATCATTTCATTCAAAAGTATTTGAGTTTGTATTAATTCCAAGTAATCTGGGGGCAAGGGAGACGTTGGTAGGGATGTAGATGAAACAAGATTAATAGTGTTAATGATTAAGTAGGGTAACAGGTACATGGGGGTCCTTGTACTCTCTTCTCTGTTTATAAGTGCTAAGGTTTAAAAAAAGAGGAAAAAGGCTCAGAAAATGTTGAAAACTCTGTAAAATGCTGAAAGGCATCATTAGAAGAAGGTAATTTCCCCCCCAAATATCAAAATACTTCAGGTGATGCATACTCTGTGAACCTTCGATGTAAGTAAAAATGAAAATGCTGCTTTGTGGTAGAGAATTATGACCTGATACTTAGTGACATGGAAGGAGTCTTTACAGTGACAGATCCAAATCATGAGAACCTCAAATGTAGTGCCTTACAAAATGCACCAAAATAAAGAGCACATTCAGTCGCAGCAAGCAGATGAGTGTTTCAGACGCAGGAGCCAGTGTAATGGGAATGTACAGATCATCAGAGTTTGTGAAAACCTCATCTTTAACACACCTTAAGTGACTAATGAGGCTTTTCATAGGACCATCTATTTCTCCTTAGTGGCAGAATTACTATGCAACATGAAAAAATAAAAAGAAATACTCCTAAACATTGAAACGAGGGGTTTTTTATTCCGTAGGATATCTACATCTGCTCCCCTACCCCCGTGCCAAGCCTAGTTACCAACTTCTGGTTCTGACAAGCAAAACACAAACAGAACAGGTGCCTTTGTCAGCACTGTAGGCAAATTCTGGCACCTGTGTGGACACCAGCTGTGTGCTCATTAGTCTTGTGATTGTCAAATCCCCTAATGTTACAAAACTAGAAATGCTCCTTCCAGCTTCCAGGAGTGTGCCTGGATGTTGGCTGGTAGATGTCCCTGGAGAGATTAGTCCTGGTCCTGACAGCTGCCATAATGAGTTTTACCAGGGGCAAAGTAAAAACTGGCTGCACGAGCACAGGTCTGAGAGTGAGGCCGGGCAACGCAGGAGGAGGATGCTTCGGGGAATGCAGAACAAAAGCGTTCTCTGGACTAGTAATACTGACACAGACAGGTATCCAGTGTCTGGTCATATGCCCACATGCCATTTTTGATTAGGTCCTAGTCAGTAAAAGCACACCCATCACATTTGAACCCTACTCTTCCATAGACTTCTACAGTTTACTGCTATGGCTTTCCATTAAGCCCTCCATCTATATTTATACAACAGAAATAATGGAATTGATGCACTGCTTCTAGTCCTAAGGCATAAACTGAATTACTGCATCAACAGTTCAGAGAAGAAAGGAGATGGCCTGTGAGCTCTCAAAATAAAGAGTCTGAGTGTAGTGTGGTAAGTTTGGATGCAATGAAGGTCTTCTCTCTGGGCATGACTTTATGTCCTTAATAATCAAAAATATGAGATGTAAGATAAAAAGTTCAGTGGTTGCTTCTTTCAGCTGAGTCTGATGAAACGGATGGATTTTATTTGGAAATGGAAAAACAAACCTACCTGAAGACTGCAAGGGTCAGAGACCACAGCACTAATGGTTTCCTCAGTTCAAACTTTGCCCGTTTGTTCATTAGGTGCCGACCACCAAAGATAAAGGCAGCATACAGAGCGGAAAACAGGAAAGATTTCTTCCTGTGAACAAACAGAAGACCAAAATCTTATGAGATCAAACTCTTTAAGGAATTTATTTTTATTCAGTAGAAACTTATATTTACTCATTATTCATCAACTTGTGTACCACTCTCCTCTTTGTAAGCACTGAAGACATTCTTGGGAATGTGCCTCAATCACTGAAGAGAGAATGCTCAGGCCATTTGACAATATGGCACCTGTCAAACCCTCCCTTGACAAATTAGATCACCTAGATTTACCAAGACACATCAGGATAGGCGTGTTTTACTTTTTGAACTCTATAACTCTAAACATTTCAACAACATAGCACTGAGGTCCCAAAAGAAAACGTTTCACTGAGGGAATTCATTTCAGTTTTCTGAGTTTGTTGGACAACTTAGATGAATGTTTAAAAAGAATTCTTTTTATTGGACACAAAATAGTTGGTGACAGAGTTGTGTCTTGGGGCAAGAAAGCCTTTTCTTAAAAGGCTTTCTTTATCCTAACAGGCTAATGATACTAAAAAATGATTTTAGAGGACTATTTGATGATTTAAAACACTAAAACCAAGCTACTTGATTTATGACTGCCCCAAGATGGATTCCTGACATCTTCTCCAAAGAAGGCAGGTATTAAATGTTAGTATTATCATTAATAACAGGCATAATTGTCAGATATCATACAATGTAACAGGAAGAACACAGAACCACCTACAGTACATGCCAAAACCCTTGAGCTTGAATCTATCAAATATGTGATTTTACTACCTGCTTATAGGAAATACAGGGGATAAAGCCAAACTGTGGGACATTCTGTAGGGCGGCTGAATTTATTTCTTCAAAACATCAGTGGTAAGAAATAAAAATCTGTTTTAGATTAAAAGTGACTTGAGAGACATATCAAATATACTGTGTAAAACTTTTTTGGATCCTTATTTGAACAAATGAATTGTAAAAAAAAAACCCCAAAAAACCAACCAAACATCTTTAATGAAATCAGAAGGTTGAAACCTGATGAGCATTATTGTAAAAGGCTTCCTATTTTTTTCCCTGACAGCTGACATGTATTGCTGACTCACGACAGATCTTATTCACACAAGCAACACTCCTTCGCTCAGTGCGAGTGACCTATTTGACAAACACTGCCAAATAAAGCAGCGATTCTGAAATCAACTGGTAAGTTAGGGCCAAGTAAATCACTTCCAATGAGTTTTGCAGGCTCTTTTCTTGGAAACACAAGACCTGGCTGGCACACAGTAGTAAGTGCTTAATAAATATTTGTCGAATGATCATGATCTGATATCAGATTTTCCAATGCATGTGGGGGCTCAGCAAACACTCTGAATGAACAGTTGAACCTTCCCAGTACTGTCTTAATAATTGAAGAATAAACTTTTCAGACAAAACATACGATTCATTTTCTTCCTCCAGAAAGAAAGACTATTCCTATATTTCAAGAAGTGGCAAAGTGAGACAATTTATTATACCTATAGAACATTTCAAGAAGAAAGTACTTTTAGCCATAAATATATTTATTGCTTTACTTCTTTGAATTCTGCACATGTATGGCACAAAATTAAGAGTCAGAATCACTATCTGTATTTACATGCATATAAGCAAGGACTCCCTGAAGAAAAACAAGTCTATGAAGTTAATGCGGACGACAGTAACATGAAATAGTATACGTCCTTTTCTGAATTACAAAGGTAACAGTAAGTGACAATAATCATAGTGTTATGATTTAAGGAATGATTTCTATGCACAGACATAGTGCTAAAAAGCTTTATCATTTAATCCTCCTAATCAGCCTTAACGTAAATAAAACATTATCTTCATGTTCTAGGTAAGGAATCTGGCTTAGAGGTTAAGTAGCCTCAGCTCTCTCTGCTCTCCTGTGGTAAACTTTTGGAGGAAAGAAGGGTGTAGCTGGTATGTTCTCTTCTAAGCATGTAAGCATGCCTTAAGCCCTCCTACTGAATTGCAAGGCCATTGTGCAGCACATTATTTAACTCTGAGAAGATAAAAAGGAATCACTACAGCAGTCTGTCATACTTTCTGGGCGTGGAACACTTAGATCCAAACCTTCTTCATCTCCTGGAGAACAAGTTCATTATATGTACTACTGAAAACTTTCCCTTACAATTATTTATCATTCTCTTACTCATTCAATCCAGTTCTGACTTTAGTGATAGATTACGTTGCTTGTAATTATGAATGTCTATATGATCCTCTCATTCTAGCCTAAGGGAAAAATAATGTCTCCTGAAGAACCAAAATAAATAAATTAATTAAAAAAAAAATCTTCCCTCTATTTCTTTAGTTCTGGAATGAGAATTCATCCTCATGGACTGCTAGCTTCCTGGCAAGGACGATTCTCTTTTTCACATGTTTTCTAAAGATCCCATCTTCAGTTCCACAGCTAGGGCAACAAAGTCAATCAATATAAACACGCAGAATTTGAGAGTCCCGAGGGACCAATCTCCTTGTTCTACAGAGAGGAAAAGGAGTGGGGGTGTGTGTGTGGGTTTGTGCGAATGCGCTGATGACAGTGGTCGCTCACGGTCACACAGCTGCATGGTGCATGTTGGTCAAAACCAGCAAAAATTGCAATGGCTCGAGCAGGTGGGTAAACATAAATCAATTGTCTAGGTTACATCTGACAGGCAGTCAATAAAGGGAACTGATATTTAAGTATAAGTGCTGTAAAATAAGTTGATTATAGCCTATATAAATCTTTCACTGCAGTGAAATTTAAACAATGCTTTGGGTTAATTTAGAACCACACTTAGGCTTCTCCTAAAAGAGGGAGTCATCTAACAAGGCATTAACTCTTAACTCTTCAATTGAGCAACCAAAATTTTTCTTTTATAGTTGAATGTTACAATTTTTCCATGTTGCTCAGAAGATTAATTTTTCTTTAGCAAAGTGGGCAATTTAAGTGGATTGAAACTGTCTTTCCATTCTGGTATCTCTTTGGTAAAGGTTCAGTTACAGTCAAGATGAATAGTGACTTGCTGCTGGTCCACCTACTGTTCAGGGTGGACAGATGACTTCCCTAAAGCTTCAAAGGAATCCAACAATACTTCACATTCTGGCAGGCCTCCATGGCTGGGTATAATGGTAACCCATTGTTTATCACCAGATAATTTTTAGATGGTATTGACTCTTCCTATTTAATTAGCCTTAAGTGCACACCTTATAGCATAACCTTTAACTGTAGGTGCTTAATAAATACTTTTCAGGATGGTGATTCCATAGCTATGTGTATAAATTACCCAACCAATGATCATTCCCAACCAAATGAGATACTGACGTGCTTTGAGCTTGTCATGCTTGCATTTACCCTTTCCCCCACCTTTCATTTGTCAATGTAAAAAATGAAAATTAGTCCATAATTAATAAAAAATAATGGTCTTATTCTTTATCCTTGGAAAACTGCATTTCTTTATCATGCTGTCTTATTCCACAGTGTTCCTAGATTTTTTTTTCCATTCTGACCCAAACAGCTGCCTATGATTTGTATTTATTGTTCCAATAACACTTTTCAAAGAGTGTGTATATATTCAAATGGGGTTTTTTTTTTTCCCCTGGGATTCTATTGAAACCAATACTTAGTAGCTGTAAACTTTTTAACACATCGAATCTCTGCCAAATGACTTGTACTCCTTTGGGAGTCAAGTTTATTTGTGAATGGCAAAACTTTCATGTGGGTAGCATTTCAACATAGGATAATTGCTAATGAACACCCCGGGGAGATGGCCTGAGCTCTTTTATGTCAGTAACCTTGTTTTCATGGTGACTGTACATGTGTGAGGCATGAGGAGTTGTGAAAGGGAAATAAGCTGTGAGAGAGAAAAGGAAAGAAAAGAAAAGGAGACCTAAAAGCATCTCTCTCTTTGGCTGGTCTGCCTGGTGCATGGAAAGTTTTCACATTCTAAGTCGTAGAGTGAGAAATTGAGAAAGAATCCTAATCAGTGAGGCTGCAATTCTTAAGATTTCTCCTTTAGTTCAGTTGCTGATTCAAGTCAGCAAATAAGTCAACGGTCTGAAAGTAATTTTAGGCCACATATGAATTGGAGACTGTGAGAAATTAATACACACAAACCTCAATTAAGTGAGTCTGGAGACTAGAGGGGGCGCTCTCCTGCCCTGTGACCGTGGCAGAGCTTAACAGGAAGAAGAAAGACTCCTTTCCTGACAAGAACTCGACCAATGAAAAGCCTTGGAGTCTGTTTAGCTCTCCCAACTTCCTTTCCCCCCTCCCCCTCTATAAGAGGGCTCTCCTTCCCTTGCCTGTGGGGTACTTGCACTTGGCTTATCATGGTTGCAGACCCTGAATTTACAATTCTCGGCTAATCCCAAAGAAACTCATTTTGCTGGAGAAATATCTAGTCATCTATTTGTTTGAAGTCAACAAGACCCAGAGAAGGAAGGTGCTTTTGGCAAATAAGACATTTAGTGGATGTGTATGGTGGTTATAAGAGTATAGAGGAAGGTTTTCTTGAGAGAGATTCTGAAAAGTATGCTCCTGGAGCTCTAACCAGGGCTGGATTGTGTCACTTTGAGAATTCCCTCAGGACTTCATAGAGGCATTTTTCTATATTAAAAATTATGGAAATTTTCCAGCAGTTTTTATTCACTAGTAAATTATAACTAGGAATTAACTCTGTGCCCAGAAATTCTGACAAAGAATAATTCTGTGAATAATGGAAATATGTCCATAATTAATACAAATGGTGACTTTATAATTGCAAGACAAGCCATGAGGAAAGAAAAGTGTTATTCTAACCTGTTGTGTTTGACCCAGCAAACCAAATAATGTGTGATCTTTTGAGTCTGAGTTGCAAACTCTTCTGCTTCTCATGCTGCTTTTCCCTCAGATGCTAATTTAAAGATCACAGGTTCTTCTTATTTAAGTAGAGAAAGCCATTCTTTTGTAATTCAGTATTTCTACTGTCAAAGTAGGTCATGATCAAAGTAGAGTTACATGCATGCAATGGATTCAGTGACACAGCCACATAC